GACGAATCACCTTGTCACGACAAGATTTGGCTGCTATTTTGGGGTGTATGGATGACGGACGTCCAGTAGACTTGAAGAAGGAGTTTGTTCCCCCGAATAGGAGGTGGGATCCATCATTGGCCATGGCTAGGTTTGGTCTCGAGTACCAACCTTTTCGCTCTACCAGAAAGGAGACTATATTGGCAAATGTATTCGAACCTCGTCATCGGCTTATCATTTACATGATGGCTCACAATGTCATCCCAAAGAAGACGGGGCACACGGAGTTCCCTTGGAAGGCATGCGGCGGGAGTATGTTCCACCACGTGCTGAGATGACTATCACTACTCTTCGCCGCCTTGGTATTGGCACGGGAGACATTCCACGCCCTGTTCAGGAGCGGAGACAAAAGGCTAGACATGGTCGCGATGGAGCTGGACCATCTACTGCAGCACCACCTCCTCCTCCGCCACAAACCAACTGGCAGCGGCTCTTTGGTCGTTTAGATGACATCGATCATCGCTTAGCCAGAATGGATACTCGCCTGGACCGAATTGAAGATCATTTAGGCACACACCCACCTCCCATCAATGATGATGAAGATGACGATGAAGAGGATGATTGAGGCTGTCCTTTGGCTGGCTTTTCTTTTGTTTGCTTGTTTGCTTGTTATTTTTATCTTTTGTTTGAAAAAATGTTAACTTACATTCCTTATTTTGAATATTGGAACTTGTGGCAGTAACTAGTAGATCGTTGACTGTAGATGGTTGCGCGGTCGATGACTCATGATTCAAGGCTTCACTGGACCGCAGTCATCTCACTTGGGGAGTCACTTATTCCTTTCTTTTCTTTCTTTTCTTTTCTTTCCTTACACATTGAGGACAATGTGTAATTTAAGTGTGGGGGGGAGAAATATGTGTGGTACTTGTGGTTTTAGTTGTGTTTGATATAATTCTTGTGCTTAAATTATGTTTCTTGTGGTTGCTGGCAGGGAGTTTTAGTCCACTTTTAAGGGGAGACTCTGTCAAAATTTTTCCAAAACCTTATACACATATATGTTATTAACTATAATAAATAAATAAAATGTTGTCACTTATCCTTTTGAAATAAATATATGCGGTTTTGATACTTCTTTTCTTATGAAATTTGGAAATGATTTTTATGTGATTATAATTTTTACATTTATAGGAAAGTATATCTAGTAAAGTGGAGAAAATTATGCCTACATTTTGTATATTTGATGAAAATTCTTCTTTTTATCTAATTTTATAAGATAAGAAATTAATATGGTTAATAAGTGTCATACTCTTCTCATGATTACTCTTAGAGGGAATTTTATTATATATATATATATTAAAAAAAAAAAAGGGTTATTCTACTCCAATGATTCTCATACCGAGTAACCGGGGGTTGGCATCTACAAATGTCGACATTCGCGTAAAAAGGTACTTGAATTAAGAGTATGCAAAGCAACTTGAGTATGTGAAATGTTGAGTAACCGGGGATCTGCATCTAAAAATGTTGATCTTCGCGTCAAAAGGCATTTTTCACAACTTAAGTAATATTTAACCCTTAAAATATATATATATATATATATATATATAAAAAAGTAAATTAAATCCCTCTTTAAGAAAAATAAGAAGTTGATCATGAGATTAGTTAGCATCTTTATTGACTATAGGAGTTGCTTGCTTGCGAAATTGGATAAAAATAAGAAGTTGAGTTGAATTGGTAAAATTATGGTATACTTGGCTCTTCTTTGCTTGATATTATGAGTACTTGAACTTAATGGAAAGATCACATAAGGGTTATTTACCTTGATTCAAGGAAATGGAGTTGAAATACTATATATGTTTATTTTCAATTTTTGGATCATTGATGGTTAGAATTTTATATTGCTTGAGGACAAGCAATGATTCAAGTGTGGGGGTATTTGATAAGAGTTTATTTTACGTATTTTTAAGTGCATTTTATTAGTTAATTTTGAGTTGATTATTTAGTTTTATAAATAAAATAAAGAGGTTTTTGGTAAAATTATATATTTTTGGTAAAAGTGGATAATTTTGCATTTCTATTGATTTTAATGGTAAAAACTTCATTTTTATGCAGGAATGATGATTCAATCACCAAAGGATGTCAAATGAGGTAAAAATAGAGATTTGGTGATGAATTCAAGTGGCAACAAGAAGAATGAAGTGAAAAACGTTCAAGTGAGGAAATGCAATACAAGTCAGTTTTGACACTCTTCAGTATTTTGACCATATCTGGAGCTACACATATCGGATTGAGGTGATCTTTATACCATTTTAAAGCTAAGAAAGAGACCTACAATTCGTATGAAGACATCGAAATCCATTTCTGCCATCTTCATGGGCAAAACGTTGGAATACAGAAGCTGCATTCTGTGGTCGGAAGTTAAAACAGAGGTTTGAACAGGTGACAGTATTTCGATCATATCTCAGGCTACAAAGTTCCGATTTGGATGATTCTTGAAGCATTGGAAAGCTAATACAAAGGGCTACAACTTTTGTGTTTTGCACAAAAGCTAGTTTGGCCTTTATCAATGAGAAAATCACAGTTGAAATAAGGCCAGAGTGAAAACGCGAGTAGACAAAACGCGAGTTATGCCGCGTTTTGTGTAGGCGCGTTTTATAGCCGAAATTCTGTAATTTGACTCAGCCAATTCTCTTGTGTTCACACCACTTTCCAGCTATAAGATGCAAGGGAATTCGGTGCACATGCTTCAGAAGACAAAAGGGCAAGAAAAGTGGCTTATTTTCAAGTCAAAAATATTGGTTATTGACAATTATAACAAAGTTAGATTGGGGGAATCAAAAGTTGGAATTTGACTTGGAAAAATGAGCCTTTGAGTAGTTTTTATGCAGAGACATTGAGAGAGGTCTGGAGAGCCATTCGTAGCTTAGCTTCTTACAGAAAAACATAGTCTCTCTAGCTAGGTACTTGCAAAGGACAATTGAGGTTTCATCTTGTAATCATCTAAGTTCAAGACAAGGAGATTTTTGGAAGGCTTCACCATATCTTGGCTAAGACTTTCTTTACTCTTTTTGTATTTGTAAATTCATGATGATTTGCATTAATGAAGTTATGAGTGTTTCATCATTCATGAGTAGCTAATTTCCTTTATCTAGGGAGTAGATGAAGCTTATGGCCAAATGATATGAAGTGATTGTGATTTATGCTTGTTATGTCTTGTATTAACTTATCTACTTGTGTATGTTGGATTACTTGTTGCTTGATCACCAATAGCAGGTTTATAGTTGTTTTTACTCATTGAGAAATGGTAAAAATAATGGAATGACATAAGTAGAGCTTGAGTAGTATATTCATGAGAATAGAAATACATTCAAGTGGATGAAATCTGCATTTCATGTGTGAATAAGAACAGATTTAGTATTTACCAAGAGATTAGGAAAAACTAATCTGTTTTAACCCATTATTATCATGAGAATGTGATTTTGGTATTTCTGAAAATGAATCCTTGGTTAAACAAGAGCAGTAACAAGTGTTGAATTAATTCATTTTAGATCTTTTGTGTTATAAGTGGAATCTACATCCCTAGATCTTAATATTTAGTGAATTCTACTCCTATTGTGAAATTGCATTTATCTATTTAAGAATTTTTGTAGTTGAATTAAAATCTGAAGTTTCTGCTCAAATTAATTGTAAGTCTAAATAATAGAGTAAATTAGTATCTAATAATTGTTTTAAATTGCTCCTCGTGGGATCGACCCGATACACATCTCGTACTACAATTGCGACCTGTATACTTGCAGTCCAACGGGTGTAAATTCGGAATTAAACTTGCACTTAAAGTAAAAACCCGTCAACCATAACTACTGTAAATTGTCTCTTCTTCATCTTGCTTTGTTCATTCATTTTATGAATAAGCTGGCCACTGATTGGTCTCCACTTGTATCCGGGAGATTTTGTTAATCTACTTCACCGGTAGTAATTCTGGTTAGTACAACATTACCGCCATTTGGATGAAGAAAGGAGGAATACTCTTTTTTTTTTTTAAGAGGCAGGTAAAGTAGTTAGTTAGTTGTTGTTCTTTCCTTACAGTTGCTGCTGCCATTCTAGCAATCACTACCTCAATCTGGAGCTTGCTAACACCATTTCTTTTTTTCTTTTTTTTTGTGCAAAGTCCAAACTTGGTGTGCTCAAAATTTGCCAATTCAGCCTTGCATTTTTTTCAAACTCTGACGTTTTTTTGTCTTAGTTTTGTATTTTTCTGTCCATTTTTTTCCATTTGCAGAACTACAACTATGGTGGGTTTCATTTGTAAGAGATATGGAGGGCAAAATTGGAATGAAAACGAGTTTCTTCTGGTCACAGGTGACCATTAGGTCGCGTCAATATCACTCGCTAGCTTTCCAGCCGGTTAGCAGGTAAAATCCTAAGAAGTCCAAAGCACGAGGGGGTTAAGTGGGTATTTCTAAACAATGAGGAAATTTCGTGTTAATTTCCTTTAACACAGGGGGGTTTTATGTATTTTACCCTAGATTTTATGGGTTCTTTTCTATCATCTTTTGGTTTCTTAAATATCTTACTCGCGGTTGATTATGTCTCTAAGTGGGTGGAAACGAAAGCCACCCGTACTGACGATTCTAAAGTGGTTGCAGAGTTCTTAAAATCTAATATTTTTGTCCACTTTGGAATGCCAAGAGCTGTGGTAAGTAATAGGGAAACACTTTTGCAACAAGACTATCACTGCCCTATTCCGAAAATACGACGTACTCCACAAGATGTCTGCACCGTATCACCCGCAAATAAATGGCCAAGCCGAAATGTTAAACAGGGAGATTAAATCAATCTTGGAGAAGACGGTGCGGCCCGACAGGAAGGATTGGAGTTTAAAATTAGAAGATGCACTACGGGCATACCGCACCGCATATAAGACGCCGATTGGGATGTTCCTGTACATACTAGTCTTTGGAAAGGCTTGTCATCTTCCCGTGGAGTTCGAACACAAGGCGTTCTGGACAATGAAATAGTGTAACATGGATCTTGAAAAAGCGGGGGTCCAAAGGAAATTGCAACTACAAGAATTGGAAGAGATTAGAAATGAGGCATACGAGAATGCCACGATCTACAAGGAAAAGAGTAAAATCTTCCATGATCAGCAAGTCTCAAGGAAATCTTTTGTAGTGGGGCAAAAAGTCCTCTTGTATTACTCGAGACTTAAACTTTTTCCCGGTAAGTTGTGTTCTCGCTGGATTGGTCCATTTGTCGTTTCTAATGTGTTTCATTATGGTGCAGTGGAGATCCAAAGTTTAAAGACAGAGAAGAAGTTCGTAGTGAATGGCCATCATCTCAAACTTTATTATGAAGAATTCTCTGTTGAAGAAGTAGAAGTTGTACACCTCCAGTATCCAATTTATCTCGCTTGAGGGTTCCGGCCATGTCTAGCCAAAGACGTTAAAGAAAGGCGCTACTTGGGAGGCAACCCAAGACTATTTGTTTTAGTTTTCGTACATTTTTGAAGTTTTTGTTAAGTTTTGGTATCATTTTGTAGTTTGTTGTTTTGTGGCAAAAAATTAGCAGTTAGACGTGCCCACGCTAAGTGGTCACGTCTAAGGAAAAGAGTTGAAAGGCGATGCTCAGAAGACTCTATAGCAGTTACGCGTGCCCACGCCAGGTGGTCACGCTTAAGGGAAGAAAATTCTCGTCCGCGGTCAGAAGACTCTACAGTAGTTAGGCATGACCACCTGGCGTGGGTACGCCTAAGGAACTCAATTTTCGAAAATTGGTCAGAAGACTAGAGGGCAGTTAGGCTTGCCTGCGCCTAAGACACAGGTTCTTTGATATTTATATATGTAAAGGGAGGTGTGAAAAGACATGATTGTCCTCATTTCAAAAAAAAAGAAATAAAAATATATTAATAAAAAAAATAATAAATATAAAAAAATATAAAAAATGAGAAAAAGAAAATTTTTAAAAGAAAAAAAGGTTTTTTTTAAGGGTTAATTCCACTTTGTCCCCCCAAACTTTGGACGATTACCCACTTAAGTCCCTAAATTTCAAAATGAGACACTTAAGTCCCTAAACTTATAAATACCTCTCACTTAAGGAAAATTGTTAACAAATCCTGAATGCCGCTGGTGGTCGAAGTGTCCCATTTTATAAGGGTTTAGGGATTTAAGTGTCCCATTTTATAAGTTTAGGGACTTAAGTGGGAGGTATTTATAAGTTTAGGGATTTAAGTGTCCCATTTTGAAGTTTAGGGATTTAAGTGGATAATCGTCCAAAGTTTGGGGGGGACAAAGTGGAATTAACCCTTTTTTTAATAGATGTAAAAAAAGAAGAAATAATAATAATAAAAAATAGAAAGATTATTTATAAAATAAAAAAAAAAATTTTACAAGGGCCCGTAGCCCTACTTGTTCTTTTTTTCTTCTTCTCTCTTTTCTTTCTTTTTCTTCTTTCTTTTTCCCTTTCTTTCCTTTTCTTCTTCCTTCTTTTCTCCTTATCCGCCCGCCACACCACGCTACGGCCAAGGTCCACCGCCGCCTTCGTCCGCCCTCCATCGTCACCACCGCTCCGTCGTCCACCAGCAAGCTCGCGCGTGGCCAGAGCACCAGCACCAGCAAGCCCGCGCGCCCTTCTCTGGCCCATCGCGCACGACTCCAGCTCCTTTCCAGGCGCAGCCCAGCACGCGAGCAGCAGCAGCAGGCGCGCACCAGCGCGACCGCCTTGCGCCAGCAGCAGCCCAGCTCGTGGAGCTCAGCAGACCGCGCGCGTGAGCTCAGCCACAGGCTCACGAGTAGCTCCGTCCTTGCGCGCGATCTCCAAGCCCACCACGCGCAGCCAAGCGCGAGCTGAGCACACTCACCAGCAGGCCAGCGCCTTTCTCCAGCCTAGCCCAGAGCGCGGACCACAAGCGCGCTCGCCAGTCTGCGCGCGACCAAAACAGCGAGTGGCAGCAGCAGCGCCAGCCTCTGCGCGCTCCCTTGCCTACGTGCGACCCATCACGCACGTGCAAGCCTGCTCGCGCAGACGCAACCCACTAGGCGCCAAGCTCATAGCCATCCTGCCCGAGCGCGTGCGACACGCGCACGTCACCTTCCTCCCCCTCCGTTGTCCCCTGCGCTTCTTCCACTATCACCCACTGCTTATTCCAAACCTCCGGTGATTTCTTCTTTAATTTTCTGTCACTAATTAGCTGAGACCAAATTACTAGTTCTTTATTAGCTGATGCCAAATTTTAATTTCTTAGTTGAGGCCAGATTTTTGATTTGCTAGCTGAGGACAGAAATTTTGTGCTTGTTTGGGTGCTGTGATATATCTGTGGTTGATTGTTGACTATTTGTTAAATTTTGTGCTCAACCAGTGATATTTGGGGGAAGTTTTTATTCTAGTTGCCTGTTTAATTAGTTTTTGGGAAAGTTTTGCTGCGTTTATCTAATTAATTAATTTTTGGGGTTGAATTGGTAGTATTTGGGTACAATTCTGCTGTTTACATGTTTACTTAATTTTTGGGGTGAGTTTATTGTCCGTTTCTGCAATTATCTGTGGTTGGGAGCTGTGTTTGGAACCCTTTGCTTGGTGGCTGCCTATTTCTTTCTTTTGAACACCATTACCTTGTCTTTGCCCTGTTAACTGATACCCAATGACTAAACTAAAAACTAAAGGTAAGAACAAACCTTTTATCTCCACCCCACAGCCTACGGTCCCCTTGGGAGGACCTACCCCAGCGACTGCTCCGGGAGGGCCCCGGACCCGCCTTAGGCAGAGTAGGGATGTTCATATCTCCTTCCCGGCCCATTTTGGCGGTCATTTGACCTTCACCCGGGCTGCCGACAAAGAGCGGTACGCCTCGGCGTGTACAAGGAAGATAATTTCTTGTAACTATATCCACGACCCTACACTTGATATTCTGAACCTTAGGGGTGAGGTCACTCAAAAGTTAGCCGACATAGGCTGGACACGTTATGCTGCTATCATTTTACCTGCTTTTACTGAATTGACGTGGGAATTTTATGCTACTTTTGAGTTTAATATCCCCGATGAATTTTCTGTTACTACTCCGGGGGTGGTGCGGTTTAGATTAATGGGTCGAGAGTTCACCCACTCTATCACTGAATTTAATTTAGCCCTTGGGTTCATTGACATTCCCTACTCTCAGAGTGAGGAATATTTGCACAGTTTGTGCGACTACACGGAGCCTTTTTTCTCTCACAATACTGGCTATTGGAGAGAGTTGTCGGTTGATCGACAACACTATGATTCTAGCCAGTCTAAGGCATCTTTTCTCAAAAGCCCTACCTACCACTATTTGCACAGATTCATGGCTTGTAGTTTCTTTGGTAGAAAGGACAGCTCAGGTACTCTGACCAAACCCGAATTCTTTTTCATTTAGAGCATGGTTGCTCAGATTAAGGTCAATTTGGGTTGTTGGTTTGCCTCTCACTTTCAAACCGTCTTGAGTAAGAAGAATAAGTCTTTAATTCTGGGTTCATATATCACTCAATTAGCCATAAATATAGGAGTTTTGGATTTAAATAATCATAATCTGCATCAAGCATGTACTATGGAACCCCTAGATTTAGTTTGCTTGGAAAAAATGGGTCTTGTGCAATAGGTAAATGGTGTTTTTCAGTTCGCCCCTCCGGGGCCGATATATGTTGCTCCGAAGCGCAAGGCTTCCAAATTCACTGCCTCAGAGGCCGGTGGTCCTTCCACGGATGCCCCCGGACCGTCCTCTTCGGCACCTCCACCGTCTTCCTCCGCCGATAGCCAGTTTGCAGCCCTTCGGTTCCAGATGTAGCACATGGACACTCGTATGGAGTGAATGGAGCTTCAAATGGCCGGAATGGCCCAGAATTTGACGAATACCTCCACCACGTGGGTTTCCACCTACCGTGCCCTCCATGGCCTTAGTTTACCTCTGCCCTCCTCCGTGTTAAGGGAAGTGCCGTTGCCCCAATAACTCTATTTTGATCTTTGTCGGCTTCCATTGAGGGCAATGAATGGTTTAGGTATGGGGGAGGGTTAACTATGCTTTAGTGGTGTTTTTAGTTGTTTGATGTGCATTTTCTTTACCCTAGTAGTTCTTTTCTTTAAACAGTGATGAATGCAATTGAGATATGGTCATGAGTAGTAAGTTCATTCCATGAGACTTTTCACTTTCCTTGATGATGAATTGATTGATGAATATGCTGAACTTGACATAAATTTGACCATTTGTGCGATTTTTGGGCCTACTTTTTCGTTTGTTTGAGTGGTTATTGCACATGGTTTGTCATTCTAGAACTTGCTCGGTTTATACGTGTCAAGACCACATCTAAATGAGTTTAATGCATTAAAATGATAAGGCGCCTAGAATTGAACTATTTTTAACTTTCTTAAAAACTAACCCTTAGTCTATTTACCCTTAGGGAGCCAAGTTGAGCCTTAACCCTTATTCTTCGCTTGAGACCCTAGTTTTTAGCCGTAAAACTTCTTTTTAGACTTTCTTTTTGAACCTCGTGTAAAGAAGTGCTTTGATTTCATTACATAGAAATTTGGAGTATTATTCGAGAGGCATTACATGTATATATGAGAAGGAAAAAGAGAAAAAAAATGAAAAATGTGAAAAGAAGAAAAAAAAAGTGCAAGAAATCAATAAGTGGAGTTGATTTTTATGGTGTTGGAACTTATTGAAAAAAAAAAGAAGAAAAAAAAAGAGAAAGAAAAAGAGAGGAGAAATAGATGAAAGAGAAAAAGAGAAGTCGAAGGTTGTAGCGAGGGCCAATTTTTACTTCACTTGTGCGATTGTTGAGGTGTCGTGAAGTTTCAAATGTGCAAGAATCTGTGTAATGAATTTCTGAGCATTTTCTTTATATTTTTTACACCCTTTGAACCCTTTTTATCCTACCTTCTCACCCTAGCCCCATTACAACCTTGCAAAGTCCCTCGATTGCTGCATTTAAATTCATAAGTAAGTGGTGGCGATATGATATATGAGCAAGCTTATGGTAGTATCATTCTATTGTGTTGATTTGAGAGCCATCTTATATATATATCCTATACAATTTGGAGTAAATGAGTGCACTTTAAACTGCGAGAATTGTTTATTTTGGTATATTTTGATTTCGATGAGGTTATTGGGGAATTTGGAATGCCATTTTTGGTATGAACTGCTGTGAATTGCTTGGTATCTTGATTGCACTTCTGAGTTAATTATGCTTGAGGGCAAGCATAGTTTAGATGTGGGGAAGATTGATAGGGTGCATTTTAGTGGGGTATTTTGGGCATTATTGCACAATTATTTGACTAAATATTTTCATTAATTGGGTGGATTCTACTCAGATATGATTTTGGTGCTAATTGCAGGAATTGATGCTGAAAAGTGCTTAAAATCGAAATTCAGAAGATTCATCGTACGTGGGGCACTTCAAGTAGTGGGGTC